AGATCATCTAGATAATAATTAACATGGAGGCTGCAGTAAGGAAAGCTTTTCTATGCTTGCGTAGTCTGGACTGTGGGATGCAAAAGGCCCCATGGGCTTGGACTTGGGGTCAGAGGTGAGCCTGTGTTTCCGAAAACAAACTGGAGAAATAAAGGTAATTCAAACATAGCATTAAAATCTATAGGAAATTAATGAGGTGGGTTTGTGGTCTGGTTTCATTGTGGAAGGAGCTGAGCTTATACTAGAAGTCGGTGCAGGCTCTCTGAGGTGGCTGGAGCACCAAAGACCACATGGATGCATGCGAGTGACCAGGGAAGGAGAGCAGAGACTTGGCTGGTAAGGTTAAGGGCTCATTTCATTCAGGCAGAAGCACCTAATGACTAAGTAGCAACTACTCCGGGGATTTTACAGATGGGGTCAAGGTCAAATCGGGAAGCTGCAGTGCAATTAATTTAATCTGGGAAGTGTTTTCAAGTTAATTCATTTGGTTCTGCTGGGAAGGTTGCAGCTTTGTGGAGGGCTAATAGGGGAAGTGTGTTGAAAGGGCTGAGATACGGTTCACTAACAAAGGGGAATGCTTTTATGACAGCAGGGAGCTTGGAGAGCCTCACTCGGCAAAACCTTCCAAACATGTTAAGGTCTTTCCCCTGAGCAAGCTGCCTTCACACATGTTGAAGTTAAGCACATGTGCAAAACCGCTGTCATCAGTCACAAGATGAGACCCTCTGGGTCCTCAGCCTCAGCTTTTAGGTGAGTCTGGAGAGTCTGCTGTAGGTGCGTATTGGGATGCTCAGCAGCTCCACATTTGGGGGAAGCGGTGGGTGAAAGAAAAAAGCAGGATTGCAAGTAGAGGTTGGGTAAATGAGGGGGATCAAAGTGTTCCCCTGCATGTTTGAAGGACCTGAACGGTGTTTTCCCTTATCATTCTTGGCACGCAGTGAACGGCTGGCGGGGGAGGGAACAGGATGTTACAGACAACACTTTGCAGGCTTGCTGTTGGCAGGAGGAGGGCTGGAGCAGACCTTCCCCAGTGGTGGTTTGTGCTCTGCTGGGTCCGCACAGAGTGGGCTGGTGATGTGCTACACGGCCCATCAGTCAAATCGTTTGGAAAGAAAGCTAACAAAATGAACCCTGCTATTTTATCTCTTCAGCCTGGCTGCACATTTCCATGAAATGGTGGAAACTTACTATTTTTGAGAATTGTGTTCCTGTTTGAGATGTAGTTGGCATTTGCTGACGTGTTTGTAGATATATTGGGAGGTGGAGGGGGAGGAAGACTAATAGGGAGACAGGCAGTCATGCAAACACATGCACATGCAGAAACACATAGAGGCAGGCTGTGTTATTGCACAAGTCCTGTATCCTTGGGAAACCAGTCTACAAACTTTTTTTTTTTTTTTTAAAAAAAGGACCGTTTGAAGTAAAGCCCAGGGGAAGGGACATCTCGGTCTCTGACATCAGCTCCATTTCACTATCACTTCTGTGCTTGCTCCAGGGTGCCAAAGGAGTTGCTGTGCAATGGGGCACAGGTGCATTATAGGGCACTGTGCAGTGGGTAAGAAATTTTTCTCTGGCTCTGGACCTAGGCGGATGGAGGAGGGAAAGTTGCTCTCTCCAGCCACCAGGAATGGACAGAGAAAAGAGAGCGAAGCAGGCTGTTGAGAGCTGCGCTGCGCCGAGTCAATGTCCCCGTCACTTTGGAGGAGCATAAAGCATTTCCTGCAAGACGCCCGAGCCAAAGGAAGGCACTGGGTGCCCCTTGGATCACCCCTCAGTGCCAGCCGCTCAAGGCAGGGAGAGAAGCTTGCTAAGCAACCCCTGGCCAGGACATGCCGTTCCCTCCCCAGTCGTGCCCTCCCTGCTGTTAGAGATGGGCTGAAAAGATCTCACAGCAAAAATAAAGGGTGTTTGCAGAGCCCCAGGGCTCTTGGCCCCAGGGGATCTTAGAGTTCTTTGTGTACAGCTTATCACAGAGGTAAAACAAGCTCTTAGAGACTGATGCAGGAATTTTTCTGGCTATGGTGTGCAGCTGCCGTGCTGTTACTGAAGCAAGCTGGTGTGATGAAATAACCCTCAGGAGGGCAGGCGGGCAGAAGATCCTGGGAACCTGCCCTGAGGAGCTCCTTGGCAGATGGAGAGATGCTCCAAGCTGATCTCCATCTCTGTGTCTCATGGGAGCCCTCAGTTCTGAGAGCTTTGGGAGACCAGGCTCTCTGCAGCCCTCCCAAAAGCTGGGTGCATGGACACCCCTGGGCTGCCCGGGAATGCTCGTTGTGTGTCCTCTGCAACCAAATCAAGTGCTTAAACATCCACATGCCGCCTGTGCAGAACTAGCTGAGGCAAGCAGAGCAGGCTGCTAGCTTGGGAGGGGGGATCAGGAGGAGGTATGCGAGGGGTCCTTGTAGTTGAATCCAGAAACTCCTCCCCAGTTAGGCCTGTCAATGGCTATTGAACTGCTGATTCCCAGGGGAGCTGGGGAGGGATTGCTCTGTAATTGTATCCTTTCTTCTGTTCCTCCTCTGAGCATCCATGTTCAGCCTTTGTGAGAGATGTCCTGGGTCAGGGGGACTTCTCTGTCTGCATCCCTTCTTCCATTGCCCCCTCTCCTACATGGCCCATTGCTTATACGCTCTCTCTGGCATTTCGCAGTCGTGCTTCTTTTTTTGTGCAAAGTGAAGGGTGAAACTTGAGCAGCTGCTTTGGTTTCATCTGTGTCTGGAGAGCTGCATCCCACCCTGGCTCCATTATGCCTGGGGCCAGACCAGGTACTGGTGCCCCAGTGTTTCCCCTCTGCTGCCAGCTGAGCTCTGACCAGTGCTGTGCTGTGGCTCATCGCTTTGCAGTTTGGCAGTGGTTATCAGCAAACCCTGGGTCCTTTTTGGAGTAGGATGGGCCAGAGGGCCCAGGGGGGGACTTTGTTCTTGGCAGCTTCTGCTGCGAGGAAATTGCAGCGTCGGTATAATCCCCTCTGGCAAAAGTTTTCTGAGGTATCCGAGCTCCAGGTCAGACAACACCCACACTACAGCTATTGCACAGGAACCTTTGCCCAGGGCTCTCCTAGAAATACTTTACAGACTTACGAAGCAGAGGTCACTGGGGCTCCAGTCTGGGTTTGTCTACTTCCCTACCTTCCTTCAAGTAATTCTCTGACCATGGCTTTTGTGCATGTTAAAGGTCAGGTTTAAAGGCCCTGCCTGCAGGCTGCGAAGGACAAGTGCTGGGTTTCTGGCAGCCTGGGACAGGCAGTTCTGTTCCTTAAAATAAAAAGAGGCAAGCAGAACCCAGAGCAGGCACTTAAATTATTCTGAAATGGTAGAACTTGTGGCCACAAGAAGCTAAAAGAGGGGACAACACTGCTTAGGGTGAAAAGGGTGAAAAATCACTCTCTGGATGCCACATTCCCGCAATCCCAAGTGTGCTTGCTCCTGTGCAGTGCGGTGCCAGGGCAGGAGTGCAGGCTCCTGGGTTTGCTCATTGATTCCCTGTGAGGCTTTGAGAACACTCTCAAATTTGAATTTTTCCCTGCCTTTTTTTTTTCACTGTGTGCAGCCCAGGATGAACACCTTTCTCTTCAGGGTAATTAATGAACTTCATAGTGCATTTGTGTCTTCAGAGAGAAAGTACTGGCCAACGGAGGCTGCAGTTGCTGTGGAAGAGAGACATAAGCACCCTCCAGCCCTGGACACAGCCAGGACCTGAGGCTTATGGGGCTCTGGGCAGGGTGTTGAAGGCCACTTGGGTGAAGCTTTCTGTGGGTCTGGGCCCTTAATCAGCGCTTAAATGCTATGCAAACACCGTGGGCAGATAAGCAAATGCATGTGAAACCCTCTGGGCAAGCTGTCCTGTTGGAGAGGACAGCTATCATCTTGGCATGGTGCATGTTCCCTTTGATACAGGCTGGCCCTCTCATGCAAAGTGAGTGCTACTGGCTCAATCCCGTCCTGCAGCCCAGATACGCTTCAGGGTTCTTCAAAGGGATAAAGATGTATTTTTAACATCAGGCAGCTGCCTTTTTCTACTGGTGCTTTTTTTCTTCTTGCGGATCTGGAAGTGGCAGGTTGTTTTTAAGCCCCTCTGTTTCTCAGCTGTCTCAGCGGAGGTGCCTAGAGGTCTCAAACCAGATTCCCAAAAATTTCAGCACTGGAAATTGGTAGCCGCTTTTGAAAATGTTGGCGAGACTGTGTAGCTCCCTACAGACGTTAGCTGATGGCCGTTTGAACACGCTTTCACCTCTGCCAAGTCCTCGCCCCATTGAAGCCAATGGGAATTTTCCTTGAAAAAGACCATAAAGAAATCATTTTCTTGGCGTGGAAAGAGGTGTTTCATGGGCTTCACATCAGTGTTCAGGAGAACTTCAGCTATCTGCTTTGATTCCTGCCACACTTGTCCCACCCTGCACAAAGCTCTCTACCTTTTGATCCAAAATAACACAGGAGATGTTTTCCACATGCCATAGGAAAATGGAAGAACTATAAAACATAATTGTTTTGGAGTTTGGCACCATTCCGTTCACAGATATATTTAGTGTGAATTGAAATTGGTCAGCGAAAGGGCGTTTGCCAGGATGACAAACAGATTAAGGTTGTATGTCTGAGGCAACTGCATACCTGCCCATCCCATGCCGGTAGGGTTGGTGGGTGGCTTAATTGTTTCATGGATAGTCATAAGCAAGCACGCACAACTCACTACTTTTGGGTAGCATTAAAAAGCATTATCTGGTGTAAAAGCTGTCGTTTGGCTCATGGCATGCTCTGTGTTCTCCTGACCTTGAGTCTTGATGTCTCCTCTCCTGTCGTCACTACTGAGCCCGTTTGCTCTTTGAAATGTGGTCCATCACACCTGGTGCTCAGCCTCCTCCCCTGCATGCAGCTTTTCCGTGAAGGAAATGTCAGTGGTTTGCACATGGGGCCAAACTCTTCTGTCCCACCTTTATTCCCTAGCGACTGACTCCAAGCCCCAGGTCAGGAGTGCTCCTCCAAAGAGCAGAATTGGATTTGGGAGAGGGGAAAGCTGTGATGGAGCTCTGGCATCAGCCCAAGGTCAATCAGTCCAGCTTGGCAGCAGGTGGAGGTATGGCTCACCATGGCTGGCTTGGCCTTGGAGAGGAGAGCTTGCAGTTGATAGCAACTAGACCTTCCTGGCCTCTGCTCTAGGCTTGCTCCTGTGGTGGTGCTTGGGGAGCCAAGACCAATCTCTCCTGTCCCTGGGTGTGTTCATGCACATGGTCTTGCACACTCTGCTCCCATCAGTGGTTTTCTTTGGGCTGACATTTGTTAGGATTGGAAAGTGAGAAAAATGAGCAAAAATATTATCAGAAGCAGGTTTTGTGAATGAATCAGCCGACAAGAGGCTTACCAGCTTGCCTTCATTTACTAGCACAGTGCTTATTTGGGCAGATGTCTATATATTTTAGTTGGAGGCAGGAAGGAGCGAGAATCGATGGGGGGAAGGCACTGCTTCCAGTTTGCTGCTTTTCCATCAGTTTGTACCATCAGTTTTCTGAATGAAGCAGGGGACTGCAACGTGTCTGAGATGCTGCCCTGCTGCTACACTTGTTCTTCTGCTGTTGTTGACAGCTTGGTGGGACAGCAAGGAGAGGAGCACAAAAGGTGTTGGAAGGCTAAAACCCTCCTAAGCAGCTAATTGAGGATCAGAGCCTGGCCAGCCTTGCCCATCTCTTGCACAGTGTTTTTTCATTTGATCCTGTCTGAAGGGCAGGCTCATGGCCTTCTCTCTTCTCACTATGTGTTTCTAATTAATGGGGAGACTGGTGTATAAACAGAAGATTCCTGCTCAAAATATTCCTTGTCCGACTCCTAGGATGACGGCCAGATGGCAATCGCCAGGCAGCAGCCCAGACTTTGAGCTTGCCCATCTGGCTATCAAACCTGGTCCCAGTTCTCATCTGGAATCAGTGTTGAGGAAAGTCATGGACTTTGCCAAATTGGTTTTGCCCTGTGTTTGCTTTTCAGTTGCTACTTAAGCAGCTAAAAACCTGCAGACCAAACACATTTAGTATTTCTGGGAAGTGGGACAATCCCAGTACTGGGAGATCTGAGGCCAAAATGGTGAGGAAGTTCAAAAGGATGTTGGACAAATCCATTGAGGGATGGGTCTCCTGGTGGCTTTTAAATCCTGGGGGTCATATGCAGTCTCCACACATGAAAGTGCTTTTACTGATGGTCTGCAGCACAGATTGGGAATGGTTTTTCTGACATGTGTCCCCAAGCAGCTGCTGGTGGTCTCTTGTGGATGGCATGCTGGGCTGGAGTGGCTCTTTGATCCAGCCCACTTGAGCCATTTTTTGCTATCAGTCTGCAGGCAGCCACACATTTGCTGAGTAAGTTCAGACAAAGCTCTTCTTGCAGTTTCTCCTGTGTGAGCCTGGGGTTGTAACACCTGAAGAGAGCTTGGGAAACTGTGGCAGAAATAAAACATTTGCTATTATGATTTTTCACTCTCCATCAGGACAGTAGAGCTGTACCATGACAAAACATCATGATGCAGCTTCTGAAAAATAGGCAATGTTAAAATCTGTAAATGCTCTGTATGCTTGATCTTCCAAGAAGCATGAGAGATCCATAAATTAAGCATTGTCACATGAGCTGAACCCATTGCTTGCCCTCCATCATGCAGAGTTTCATGTGATTTCTTTACTTCTATGTAAGTGCCTGAGTTCCAGAGTGCTGGAACGCTGAAATCAGAGGTACCAGAGAGAATGCTGATGGTGGGAGAGGGTGGGTGCTACAGTTCTTCCTTGGCATATGCTAAAAGATGCTTCATGTTTGTCACCGCTGTAGGACCAGAATGGCCTGGTCTGTCACTGGTGTAGGACCTGTGGAGCTGCTGAAGAGCTCCTATACACAGAGACATACTTAGTCTCTGTGGTAAGAGGTGATATGCGTGCATGGGTTGAATCATAATTTGGGCTGGAAAGGACCCCTGGAGGCCTTGGTCCAAGCCCCTGCTTAAAGCAGGGCCAGCTTCAGTGTTAGATCCAGCTATAGTGTTAGACATGCTTGCTCAGCCAGTTCAGACCGGGCACCAAGGAGGGGTCAGCTGTCACCTTCTGGGCTTCTGGAGCAAGCAGGAGGAATTGAGATCTGTTCTAATTGCTGCTGCAAAGTCCAGAGGGACTAGTGTCTACAGCATGGTAACATTGTGTCCTATTTGGGCAAGGATTGCTGTCAGAAACAGCACCCAGTGAACTGGGAAAACGCACAAAGTAGAGAGTGGAGGAGGTGGAAAAGTCCAGTGTTTATTCCCAGATTTTTACTAACTGATTTTAAAATAGCTGAATTAGCTGGGGGTCTTGTGGCTTGCAGCAGTGGTGGAGTTGGACCCAGGACACATGAGGTTATTCCATGGTCAGCAAAAGTGGCTAAATGCAGAAGTAGGTAGAAGCTAAATGAGTAATGCACCGTATGACAAATGATGTGAAAGATGATACAGCAAAGATGATCACTGAAATGGCAGGATCTCCGAGGGAAATTAGGGTGGCCATAAAACAGAGGCAAGGCATTTTTGAAATTGAGAATTTATTTTAGCACATTAATACTGAGTAAGTATTCCTGGAGATACTCTGGGGGATGATAGATGGACTCAAGGTATTGTTACTAATCACTGTGGTTTTAAGTTTTGGAGCTGAATACACTTGGCATCCCTAATCCAACTGGACTTCTGAGGGGAAAATTACATTCTTCAGGAAGTAATTTAGAAGGTCAAAGAAAAACCAGACAGAACTTCTCCAGCAGCGATTTCCCCTGCTCTCTAAACTGTCTTTTAGTGTGGTAATAACTCCAGAATGAAAGGATCTATTCTCACCTTCCAGATGAAAGGGCTAATGCAATTTAAAATTTTTGCATGCAAAGATTTTCTGGTTTGGTAACTGGCCATGCTTGAAAGTGATCCAGGATGGGATGAACACGTGAGAAAGTGCCTGGCTGAGCTTGACCCTTTCCTTGTCTGCCCTGTCTCCTGCAGATAATGGCGATGACCGGTCTGAGAGCATCCTTGCCGAGAACCATGTGGATGGGACCACAGGGATCCTGAGCGGAGCTGGTGGGAGGAAGCCCATAAAGTCGGGCATGAAGGAGCTGGCAGTTATGAGGGAGAAGGTGAACGAGCAGCAGCGGCAGATGGGTAAAGTTGGCAAGCCCCATCACAACCATGAAGACTCGAAAAAGTCGCGGCTGTCGACGGGCAGGGTGAGAAGGCAGGAGGGTGTGGGGAGCTAATGGAGGCAGCTGCAGGCTCACCAGGGAAATGCTGAATGCAAAAGCCTTAGTGACATTTGCAACAAACTGTCTTAAGGAAAAAAAAAAAAAAAAAAAAAAAGGGGGGAAAAAAAAAAAAAAAAGAAAAAAGGGGGGAGATGGGGAGAGAAAAAAAGGAAAAGTAAACGTTTGTTTTGGCCTGAAGCTGGGGCCCAGCACACCATCTGATGACCTTTGATGTGCTGGCGAGGAGGTGTTATTTTCATTGCTGCTTCACCTCCTGACAGCAGAGCCGGGGAAGGGGGGTCCCGCTGGCTTGACACCTACCTCCACAGGGGTGCGTGCATGCCCTTTGCCCGCCGACTGGCTTTCTCACACCCTTTTTCCCTAAGGAAGTGCCAGGGATGGCCTAAGGGGATTTGTGGGGGCTGTCTGCCTCCTGCAGGGCAGCCCCAGTCCCGGCTGGGGGGTCGCCGAGCCCCCGAGGATGAGCTGCGGGGCCGTCACATAGGGAGGGCTCCGGGCACTCTCTCCAGTCCTTGGCTGTGGCTTCCCTCTAGTGGGCAGCTTGGTCAAAGCAACTAGATGAGATGGGGATGAGGATGGAAAGCCTCCCCAAAATTTTGGTCCATAATACACATCCGTATAAACATATGGTGTGTTTATATCTGGGAAGTGCAGGGAAAGAAAGGGCCTTAAAACTGCTCCATGGACAGGCAAATAAGAGATTCAAAATAAGGTGCAGGCACTGTTGACTTAGAGAACTTCCACACTGCTGATGATTCTTTGGAAAAAAGAAACCAAACCAGCAACTGCAAAAGCAGAGAGGTGCAGACTTACTCCAGCTCACATCAGGCGTAATTCAACCATACTGCCTTGGCTGGGAGCCCTGGCTTGGGGCTGCTGTGGAGCGAGTGGAACGCCTCCAGAGGCTGGCTTTGCTGGGTGCTCTCGTTCCTGGGGCTTCCCCTCCACTCCCATGGGGTCTCACATGCTTTGAGTTGCACTTCTGGGCCAAAGCTGCATCACAGGTGTGGGATCTGGGCTATGCTCATGAAAACCCTCCTGGTCTGTCTGGATTAATCCTGCTTCACATCACTTGTTACCACCAGTGGGACCCATGGGAGCATCTCTGAGACTTCTCTGTCTCCACGGCCTGTGACTTGGTGTCATGACAGCTCTTGGCCACATGAGGCACATGGCACACGGGAGAGATGTGCCTGTCTCCCTGTGTGGATCTCCACACACCAGCATGCACAGGCGTGCAGCACTGGGATTTTGGGTGCCTGCAGGTGAAGTCCGCAGCGGGACCCTGTGGCAAACCCGTGTCATGAGGAGGTGCACACAGGTGTTCATCCCTACCGATGTTTCTGTTGTCCAAAGTGTAGACATTGAATAGTCCCATTGCCCTGATTTTTTGTTTTGTCTTCTGCTTTCTGGACTCTTTTCAGACCCCTTGTCAGCAGGAGCTGGATCAGGTCCTGGAACGTATCTCCACTATGCGGCTGCCAGATGAGCGAGGTCCCCTGGAGCACCTCTACTCCCTCCACATCCCCAACTGTGACAAGCACGGCTTGTATAATCTCAAACAGGTAAATGCCGGGGAGAGCTAGAGCCCCAGGGTTGGCTGCCTTCCCGGCAGCAGCCCTTGGCTCAGCATGCATCCCTGCCATGGACAACCACGGAGGACACACACAGCTCAGGGCTGGGCTGATGTCACATGCATGGACTGAGCTGTGGGGTTAAACAGCAAATATCACATGTGGAACGGACAGGTTTAGAGCCAGGTGCATCTGCACCCATGGGCTAGCAAGTGGAGATGAGAGACCCATGGCCACAGGCAGCCCAGAGGCAGAGAATCTGTTTAGTTCAGAGCCCCTTCTTTCCTGTGAGAGCTGCTTATCTGTCCAGGTCTATTTTCATGTACTTTGAGCCAGGTCTTATTCTGGCTGGGCCCCACTACAGCGGAAAAGCAGAGAGAGGCTGAATGCTGGCCAGTCTTACAGACAAAGCAGGAAACACTTCTCCTGGGGTCAGGAAGGTTTCTAGTGCGTTTACTGGTTTTCCTCCACAAATCGAGGCTGGTCCCACAGCTCCAGGAGGGATTCCTTCCAGACACGAGGTGGGGGTTGGGCTGCAGCATGCTTCTGAAAGTATTTATGGGACCCAAAAGGACTCAAGTGACTTAATGTGTGTCTGTCTGAATTCTGACTTCTTGGCTTTATTTATGCAAAACCAGGAGGTGTCAGCAGCTGAGACATGGGGAAAAAAATGCCAGGAAGAACCTCTTGGGCAGCAAAACACCAGCTTGTCCAGAGTTGACTGGCAGCCATGTGTGAATAGTACCTGCATATGAACACCCCTTATAGCTATGTGTAACTGAGCCTTTGGAGGAGACCCCAGAAAACCTGCTGTTTTCATAGCTAAGCCTTTTTCTCAGGGCTACTTCTACCCCGTGGTCAGGCACATTAAAAAAAAAAAAAAAAAAAAAAAAAGTAGGATGCTCTAAGATAATCTCTCTCCATCCCTTCCCTCTTCCCTGTCCTGCTTGGACCCTCACCCTCCACTTACCCCTGAAGAGCCCCATGGGCTGGCTGGATCCCCCAGCATGAGCACACTTGGAAAGGGTGGATGGAGCAGAGCTGGCAAATTCCCTGTGAGGATATGAGGCATGTCCGGGGAACGAGCCTGGGCAATGCAGCAATGCATCGTGTGCTACAAAAGAAAAGACAGTCTCTACTGCTTCTTGTGCCTGGGAAACAGTCAGCCTGCACTCAAGGGTGCAGATGGGTTATGCACTGGTCACTGGTGGAGAAAAAGAGGGAACAAAAATTGTGTTCTCCCCACCCCTCCTGCCCTGGTTAAGGGCAAACAAGGCAAATGTGAAGCGATACCCATTTCCCTCCATCTGTGTTTCCAGAACTGAGTACCAGCTCTTTCTCATTTGATGGAAAGTGGATGCAACAAAAGCATTCCCCATTGCTCCCACCTCCTGTGGGCCAGTGCTTGAGTAGAGGGTGCCTGGATGCACTCTCCTGCTGGGGAGATTTTTTTCTTCTTTCTCTTTATTCCCATGAACAAGGCTGTATTTTGACCTCAGTCCAGCTTCAAAAAATGGCCTGAATTCAGCTTTACAGAATGCATGCAGAGGCTGGCCTGCTGGAGTAACCTCTGTGTCTCCCACTACACTCTATTCAGAGGTGTATCTGCTGGGGATGGAGGGATAAGCATTAGGTTCAAAGTGCCTGCAGCCCTTCCAGGGCAAGAGGAGGATGATAACTAACCATTAGGGCAAGAAATTTCTCTCTAACGAGAGCAGGCTGGGTGGGGCAGAGTCGAGGGCCCATGGTCCTTGTCTCTGTTCTGGGAGAGAGTGAAACCGTGTTTGGAAACATATCTGTGTCTGTCTGTGGGGGCCTTGCTCTCATGTTTCAGTTTGTTTAGCCCAATTTGCAGGTGAGAAGCAGCTTACTCCTCTGTCAGTCTGACTCATCCCTCTTCCCCCAGGGATTTTTAACTCGATGGATGCTTTCATCCACAGCTGACAGAGCACAAAGCATCTTGGGGACAGTTGTCCTTATGGTTCATTAAAATTGGCTTCTTGGTCCCTGGCGTAGCGCCTGGGGGAAGAGGTCCAGCCCTCAGCCTGGACTGCTGGAGCAGTGATGCTGGTGCAGCACAGACCCTGGGGTGTCCAAGTGTAGCATCCCCAAATTTTGCCTAAATTCAAACTGATAACAAATTGCTGGAGAAACCCCAGCTCTGCCTGTTTTTGGGCTTTGGGCTGGTGGGGCTAGGAAGGGAATTTTGTTCCCCTATTGCTTCAGCTGATGCCTGTCCTGTCCCTCTCCCTGCAGTGCAAGATGTCAGTGAATGGGCAGCGTGGCGAGTGCTGGTGCGTGGACCCCATCCACGGGAAGGTGATCCAGGGTGCACCCACCATCCGTGGGGACCCTGAGTGCCACCTCTTCTACACAGCCCATGAGCAGGAGGACCGGGGAGCACATGCCCTGCGGAGCCAGTAGATGGACGTGATCCCACTCGCTGGAGGCGGCTCGCCGTGGCCCCAGTGCTGGATTTTACATGGGTTTCAGCATGTCTCTTTAGGCTCTGGAAGAGACTGGGGTTGGGTCCTGCGTGCTGCCCTCCTTCCCCTGCTGCCCGGCTCCTGGGGAGGGGAGGGATAATGGGAGGGGAAGGGCGGTGGGGGGGGTTGCAGGGAGAAGGGACTGCTTTCCTATAGTCTTTCACCCAACGTAAGCCAGAGAACCAGTCTTTTTTGCTCCTCACCCTGTGGCCCTGCCCTCCCTGCTGCTTCATGGCATCTTCTCACACCCTCCAGCACAGACCGCTGTGTGCTCCCCAACACCTCCCAGGGGGCAAAAACCCCTCACCATGGGCAGGAGTGGAACAAAAAACAAAGGAAAAAACCCACCCTTTCCCCCTCTTTCCCTCCCTTCCCCAAGACCAAAGACTGTAAATACTGTCGCCTGCCTCTTGCGTCCTGCCGGTCCCCTGTGCCCCAGCCCAGCCATCGGTCCTGGCATGGGATGCAGTGTGGGAGGGAGGGAAGGAGGAAAGACTCTAGCTTCCCAGCTGGATCATGCTGGTGTGGTTGGGACGCATCCCCCAAAGAGGCATCAGTGAGGGAAAGGGCTAAGGGTGAGATAGCCCCCTCCAAAACACCCCTGGGTGCTTCCTCTCCTGGTGCTGGGGCACAGCCAGCCCCACAGGGACCCAGCTCCAGCCACTGGTCTGGAAGGACAGGGCCTTTGGGTGGCGGTGAAGCTAAATGCTTGGTTTTCCAGGGGATTTGAAGGGCTGTTGCCCAGTATTTCTTAGGAACAGCTTATGGTGAGGGAGCCAAAGTGAACTTGCTGGGGCTGGGTGGAAGGATGCCTTTGTAGATTTAGGATAACAAGCCAGGGAGTGTTTCTTTCTTTCTCTCTCATTCATTCTTTCTTTGTTTCTAGATAGAAAAAAACCCATCTAAAACCTGCACTCCCAAGCAGCTGCCCTTGTCCCTCATTTTTGCTTGGGACTGGAGTGAGCATCTGCTTTTCAGCACACACTTTTTCTTTTTTTTTTTTTGTAAGTAAATTACAGTATATATCTTGCTTTGTAAAGGCCCTGACACACATGTACCCCTCTGCCCACATACACATTTGTATAGATTAAATCCCAAGTGATTCCAGGCGCTCTGAGAGGTTTTGCGCTGGACATGTTGCTCTGAGGAGAGATGTGCCTCTGCTTTATTTCGCCTGTTGATTTCTTTCTGTACAGAACACACCAATGCTGAGAATAAATAACTTCCCCATTGCCTAAGCAAGGAGATTTTATTATTTTCTTCCTTTTTTTTTTTCCTTTTTAATATGGATACCATTTGCAGAGCAATTGCAAAAATCTTCTCCTCACAGTAGAAGTCTCAGGCTTTCCTTAAATGAAATCAAGGTGGAGGAGTGGGAAATAAAGCATCTCCTGACTTCTGGCAAATGCTTCTAAGTAGCAGACAGCCTCCAGATCCCAGGTCCTGTGTGGGGTTAGGTTGAACAGGGTGGAGGAAGGGGGTTCCTTGGTGAGTGTGGGTGCTGCTTAGAAGCACCCTCTGCCTGCATGGTGGGGGCCAGGCAGCAAAACTACCTGACTGTGACCATGACCTTCAGGGATGAAACCAGCCCCCGGTGACTGTCAGCACACCCCAGAAATGCCAAAAGGTGCTGGAGAAAAAACGTATTGGGGTCTCCACTGCTGATACGTCCTCATCTGGGGACTTTGGGGCTCTGGAGGAAGGGGAGTGCTGGCGTTTGTTGCTTTTTTCCCCCCTTCTTGGACCCATATTTCAGATCCCAAATGTGAAGGGCATAGGTGGTCTCTGCAAATTAAGCTGCTCATGACTTTGAAGGGGTTTGGATGTGGCAATGGAGGAGACAGGGAAAGGACCCCATTTGTAAAGGCAGGGGTGGGGGTGTATGCACGTGGATGTGTATAAGGGAGTGAGTGCATGAGAGAGAAAGAAAACACACCTGCATGCAAAGCCAAGTAACTGTAAAAATGATGCTACCTGTTTTCTGTTAACATCCAAGGGTGTTCTGCTTTTTCATGTAAACCTTGCACATGCTGGCTCTCATCTGAAGTTTGTACTTTTTGTTTTGTTTAGGAATCAGGAAGTTTTCTTTTGTGTTTTTCTCTTTTGGAAAAGCTGAGCTACATAAAGTTGGAATAAATTAAATGGGATGCCAGAAAACTGTCATCTTCCTCCCTCCCCACTCCCCTCTGTTCATAGGACATGTTTCCTTGCCTAGTGCATCACACCCAAATTTGGGCCTGTTCAGCTTTTGTCCAGGGGGTGTAGTAAAGACCGGGCCCGACAAGCCGTGATGGGAGTTGGACCTGTCATCATTACTGGTCCCAGTTGTTTGAGCAGGGAGGAACTGGTGTTGCTTGTCCGCTGGCCTGCTATATTCCTGCTCCACTCGTGGTACCTTGTGAGTCTGCAACATATAACCGTACCCTTGAGTTCTCTTGAGTCGACATCTGGTCAGCACGTGTGTGGAGACCATCTCCCTGCCTGACAGAAGGTAGATTTGGTGGAAAAGGGTGGTTGTATCCTACTTTGCTGGGCAGAGAGGGCAGCAGCATGAATGCCCTGTCCAGTGTGATGCTTGTGAAGCTCCTTGAACTGCTGAGGAGCTGCGTGAGAGCGGTGATTCCTGCTCCTTGAACAGGTGCTTGGGCAAAGGCTGTAAGGAGAAGGGAGCTCTGCTCTTTCCAGCTTCCCAACCTTGGTATGTCAGGGGCTTCTTGAGGTGGCAAGAGCATCCATTGGTGCTGTTCATTAGCTGGCAGATGGACCTGTTCTCTATGAATCATCCAGGCTCCTTTAAGCTGTGGTTTTGGTCTCTTCCGCATTCCATGCAAAGGTTTCTTGGCTGAGCGGAGCTCTGCAGGGAAAAACCCTCCATGGGGGACCCTCCAAGGGCTCTCTCCTTTGTTTGCTCAAAAAGAGCAAAATTTGAGCCAGCCAAAAAGTCAGCCTTAGTGTTTCTGTGTGAAGTCTTTGTCTAGACCAGGCTGCTGGACAGGTGTAGGGAGGCCTGGGCTGCATGTGGTATCAGGACTTGGCTGAGCTGCTCCACTCCTGGGGCCATGGAGACAGTCATCTTGAAGGTCCTGTACTGTCTTGAGGGTGAGAGGTGCTGCCTAAGGGAGCATAATGGCACAGTCCAGTGCTTGGGGCACCACAGGGAGGCAAAGAATAACAATAATAATTAAAACTCCAAGCTGCATTCAATTAAAATTGCAGCATTGAAGGAGAGGCCCTGTGTGGCCCTGACAGCCAGCATCCAGGTGGCTGTGGTTTCTCTTTGGCCGCCCCAAAGGAAGCCAAAACCACTGGGCTGCTTCCCCATCTGTTTTTTCCTACCCCATGCTAGTACACTGAGTAGGACTGATGTGTGCTGAGGGGCTGGGCAGTGGTGGGGAGCACCAGGAAAATGTATAGGGGTAAGAGGTTAGTGAGCACATGGGGCTGCAGGGGAGGGGGGACAGGCAGGGTGGGCAGTGGGATATGATCTGGAGCATATGGGAAAGGAGCAAAATTAACTTTTAGTACCATCCAGTTTTGTGCCCCTGGGGGGAGCTGAAGGTGGCTCAGGAGGTGCCGTGGGGGGGATGCCAAGTAGTACTGTTGGGCATGAGGGTGCTCCAAGCCAGGTGCTGCCCAGGGAGGGCTGGGGGTGGCAGAGGTGCCCAAGCCCACAGCCCAGCCATGCCTGGGGCCATCCTCCAGTTCAAGGGCTGGAGGCAAACAAGAGGCTTCAGCCTCGCAAAGGGAGCCTGCAGCTGGGGCAGAAGGACTGCAGTAAGGCAAGGGGAGCAAAGAGCTTCTGGTTAGGTTTCCCCAGGGTTGCAACATGGCCTGGAAGGCTGCATATATGTGTGTGCATGGGTTTGATGGGTGTCACTGCTTGGATCCTGGCTCTGAGGTTTCGTCTGGGTTTCCTGGCGTGTGTGCTCAGGCATTGAGACCTGGCCTGCTGCACATAGCGTAGTAGCCGAAACCCCAGCAGCTCCGGTGTACAGACACAAACCGATCTACACTGGCAAACTACAATTTTAGCATAGCACAAAAATTATGCACTAGTATAATGCAAACAATAATATTTAATATGAAGGCTATAATTAGTGTAAGACGTGTGACTGTATCTATTTACTGCTGTAGCTATCTATATGCATGTATGTAGCTTGTGGGTAGGAGTATAATTTACTAGCCCACTAGCTGAGGTGAGGGGGTGGGGATGGGGAAAAAAGCCCTAACTTTTTGGCTGGAAAGCCCATTTTCAGTGCCTGTGTGGCTGAAAGCAGCAGCAATAGATATTAGGAAGCATTTCTTTACAGAACGGGTTGTTAGGTGTTGGAATGGGCTGCCCAGGGAGGTGGTGGAGTGAGTCCCCATCCCTGGAGGTGTTAAGAGTAGAGTCGACATAGCGCTGAGGGATATGGTGTAGCTGGGAACTGTCAGTGCTGGGTTAATGGTTGGACTGGATGATCTTCAAGGTCTTTGCCAACCTAGAGGAGTCTGTGATTCTGTAATGCCTCTCTGCTGGGCAGCACAGGCAGCGCCGCCTGGTGCTGGCTGCGATGCCGTGCAGCTCCTGCACCGTGGGGTGCCTGGGGGAGTGGGCCCAGCCTTGGGGGGTGCCATGGGGGTACAGCGGGGTGCAGATTCCCCCACCTCGTGCGCCCAGGGTGTCAGTTTTTGGCCCCATCTGTGCTATGGAGTGAGAAAGCCATCGGAGAGCAGGTGGCCTAGCCAGCCACGGGTGGTGCAAAGAGGATGGGGGATATGTTTTAGAACACCACTGGCAACCAACAGTCCCCAGTGGGAGCCCGAGCAGACGTTTTTTGCTTTCCATCCTGCTCTGGGTGCATGGGGTGATGTTGGCAGCTGGGGTGGATGGAGGGGATGAGAGGCACAGGAGGTGGGAGATGAGGGAGTGTGTGGGTGGAGGGAGAGGCTGGATCCGGCATCCGGGAGGACACGAGGCAGTGGGAAGGGTCACCATGAGGCATCTGAGGACCACGGTGTAGCTAGGCTGCACAGGGATGCTCTTGCACACTGGGGTCAATCTCCCTGCTGCCTAGAGAGGGCTGAGGCTCAAACATCCTGCCTGATTGCAAACTGTGGAGCTCAGCACGACGAGCAACCAGGCCCTCTTCCTCCATAATGTCTGAACACAATTGTCCCACTACCACATGCATGCAAAGAAATTGCTAAAAATAAAATAAGGCAGCTCTGCTTTAAAGACACTCTAAAATCAAGCTTGCAATTTTATCACCACCTTAGAATGTTGCTCTGGTATCAAAAGCTCTCCTAAGCCACTGCCACTATGTTACCCCGTGCCCTGTACTTCCCCCAGCACCCCTATGGGTCTGGCTGAGCCCCCCCCAGGGGCACAGCGTAGCCGGCCAGGGGGTGCTCAGTGTTGGAGCAGCTCACTGGCACAGACACTCCACGAGGGTGAGGCACAAGCTAACTGAATGCATAACTTTATTAAATAAATGCTTTGTCATGAGACAAAGATCAAAGAGTAACATAAATTATAAGTTGAATAAATAGTATACAGCAATCTTCACTTTTTAATAAAATGTGAGATTTTTTTTTTAAGTACAAAATGCTAAACAGAGCATTAAGCTCTTCTTCCATTGTCAGTTTTTCACAAACTGCTTTTTTTTTTTTTTCCCACCAGTAAGATTATGAGTATTTCTTGTTTACTGGAAAAAAAAAAAAACAACAACAAAAACAAAACAAAACAACAGAGCTACCGTATGTATGTAAAGCTATAAAAAGCTACCGTAAAATGTGTAGTGAGTATTGCTTAAAGATAAAAACCAGGCAGGAAACTCGGAATCTGGTGTGTTTTAACAACTGTGTTACAACGGTGGGTAACGTGCGCAGTGACGTCTGTCCCGGTGGCAGTGGCGGGGGGCTGGCAGGGCTGGGGAGGGGGGCATAGTAGGCAGGGCTCCTAGCCAGCGCCAGGACAGCGGTCTGGAAGTGAGGTGAGCTGTCAGTCGTTAAATATACAATGCTCCGTTCGGGAAAAAAAAAGTCAACATAAAAACCCCACCCAACAACAACAAAAAAGTTTTCATGGGGGACGGGGAGAAAAAAGAGAAGGGGGGAGAAAGAGCAGAGAAATAGTGCAAAATGCTCTTGTACTAGTGGTTTTCGAAGTCCACTGCAGTACAGACAAGGGGTAGCCCAGCCGCTGAGCGCCGCTCCCCGGGGAGGTGTGGTGGAAGGTCTGTCCTGACCCCTGTGCCATCCTTGTCCTCTCCTTTGCATCCAGCATTCTGGGCACCAGCAGGGGCTTGCTTGGTGCAAACACTGGCTGGAGACCCCCGAGCCTCACAACTCCCCTGATGCACAAATTGCCAGCACTTCCCCACGTTCCTCAACCCCTCCCACTGCTCACCCAGTCTTCCCCAGCTCCCAGATCTGCTTTTACTCACCCCAAATGCAAAGGGCACTGAGAATGGGACCACTATGTCACTGCCACCCCTGATGGGGGGGCCAACCTCTCCTGAATCCACTCCCAGTCTGATCCAGGCTCCAACTCCAGTCCTAAATATTAGTGCAGCCTGCAAACAGCCTCATCCTCCAGGGATCCTCAAGGAAGCGGATGGCTGGGGGTTCTCTCAGTGCCCCATCCCGGGAGCTGAGGTGGCCTGGGGAGGTGAGGGTGGTTCAGCTCCCTCCTTGCATCCTCCTCCCCCCAGGTCGGTGGGGACAGGACAGGCAGTACCATCCCAGCACTGGATGTGCAGCAGCGAGGGAGGCTGCACAGGATGGATTTTGGTGCTCTGGGCTCCTGGGGCCCTGGCTAGACTTGCTTTCTAGGGAGAGGTCAGGGAGGCACCCTGTGTCCCCCTCCCATTGTCACTGTGATGGCCACATCATGAGACCACCACCAGGCCCTGTGAGCTGACCCTCAAGCTGCAAAAGCATCAGCCCAAAAGGCAAGGTCCCTGGGGAGCTGCTGTCCCTCTACCCACTCCCATCCTGCCCCAGCAGCACGTCTCCTTTCTCTGCAGCCAGAGGCTTTCAAGTTTTGGGAAATCAAACAACAAAACAAACGAACGAATAAAAAAGCAAGAAAGAGAGAGAGAGGAGGAGGGAGGGGTCCTGGGGAAGGTGGTACTGGCCTATAACAGGAGGTTTTGCACAGGGATCGGTGAGTGGAGGAGATGGGAGACAGTGGTGACAGTGACGACCTGTGGCCCTTGGGGTTGGCACAGGCTCCTCCTCCTGCCTTCTTTACCCCATTCTTCACCCCACTTTCACCACACCATTATCCCACCACCCTGGTCAAACCAACCCTGCTCCATCAGCCCTGTGGATCAACCTGCTGTGCTCCCCTCCAGCAACAAGGGGGTCACACCACTCTGGCAAGTTTTTTTGGGGGACAGATCTGCATTTGGTGGCACTCTCCCTTCTTTTCAGCAAGGGAAGATGTCTCGCCCCCAGCTCCAAACATGCCTCACCAGCTCTCTGTGGAAGGCCATTGACAAAACTTGCCCTGCCATAATTCCAGGGGAAATAACCACGGGGTGTCCAGTCCTGCCCTCAACTGGGGCAAGTGCCCTGGTGGGGGCCCACAGGTTGCTTGGGGGAGTGGTGCCATGCCACGGAAAGCTATGAAGGGGCTCAACTGGTGATGAAGAAGAGCCTCCACCAGGCCCACCTGGCATCAAATCCCTCCTGTCCCATGCTGGCTGGCAGGGACCCAGTGGTGCTGCAGACCCCCTTTCCTCTCTGCCCATCTTTGGGATGCTCAAAGGGACTTTGGGGCTGCAGAAACCTTCCCCCTGAGATCGGCCGTGTCTTTTGACCAGCACCAACTGCTGTGTCCAGCCATGGCAGCAGGATGTGGTCCCCAGTGGGTGAGTGTTTGCCCACTGTGACTGCAGCACCCAGACCCCATTCACTTTCCTTCACTGCAAGATCTCCTCCCAGCACCAATGTCTCGGAGACCCTTGTCATGGGGAAACGAGAGGCAACAGTCTCAAAATCAAATGTAAAAATTAAAACCAACGAAAAAGTCAGGAAGGCAGGCGAGGGCTGTACCAGCACACCTGAGGCAGTGGGTCTCTGCGGTGCGGTGGCTGCTGTCACTGAACAAGGAGCTGGGTCCCAGGTTAAAGTCAAAGGCCTGTTGCAGGATCTCACTGTAGGGTGGTGATGTGAGCAGTATCCTCAATGCGAAAGGATGGAGACTGGTGTTTTCCTACCCATGGGAAAGGCTATAAACCATCCTTACCAAAATCCAAGACAGAACAAAGTATAGGTTTGGGTTTTTTTTCCCCTGGAGCAAACCACTTTTTTGGCTGTGGAAAAATAAAATAAAATAAAAATCTCCATAGATGGTCTTCCTCATGGCAGCAAAGGGTGGTGAAGAGTTTTGGCCCTGATCTCCCTGTTCCCACATAGGGATGCTTCAGTCTGGACAGTGATGGAGTATCTGTGGGGTTGGCTTGGATGCAGCCCTTGGTGTCAGCGGGGCCCTGATCCCGCAGGCACTGGTGCTTCTCTGAAACTCTGCTCCTGTGCTTAGTCCGGCAGGTTATTATTTTTTTTGGGGGGGGCAGCATCTCTCCCCCTGCTTAGTTAAACCCTCCAGATTGCAGGTTTTGAGGCAAAATTTTGCAAGGAGGAAAAGCCATGTCCGTGCACACACATGCTCGCACATACGCACATGCTCGCAGGTGACAAACACTTCCACACCTAGATGGACAATGGTTAAAGTCCCACTTGTCCAAAAAGATTTCTGACCTCCCATTTGAGAGGAACTGGACAGAGAAGGGTATCTTTCTTTTTTGGATTATTTCTGTTTGAAGTCCATGAATATTTCGGGGGGGATATTCATGCCGTTAACAGGAGCTGTGCTTCCCTCCCCGGCTCATCTCCAGACACGAAGCCAGCAGTCCCACTCCTCCTCCCAACGTGTCAAAAGCTGCTTGGATCCGGGGTGGTCGTTTCAGACTGAAGTCAAACCAAATCGACTCGAGTGAGTCCCAGTGATGTGGGGAGGAGACTCTGGAGGACTGCAGCAAGGAGGGGGAATGCTTGTGGCCACAAGGTTTTTTTCTTGAGACCCTTTAGAAAGCAACTAGCTAACCACCCCCCCCCCCCAAAAAAAAAAAAAAAAAA